GCGCCCGCCGAGCGCGGCGGCATCAGCCTGTCGTCGGCATCTCCCGTTAGCCCGTCTGCGGGCCCCAGAGCAGAGCCCGCTCCCCTGGAAGCCTGTCCCTGCAGCCACCGCTGCGGGCCCCTCATGAAGCGCCACGGGTTTGGGCATCTCCCCTTTCTAGAGGTAAAAGAGGCAGGAGACGCTTCCACGTAGGGAGCTAGGCTGAGAAAACAAGGGTTTGGTGAGCTCTCCGTTGCTGTGTTTTCAGAGGCAATGGTTACGAAATTAAGCAAATGAGCGTTGGGACAGGATGGATGTCGGCGAGAGCTCTTGCAGGTCCTGAGAGGCAATAGGAAGCTCTGACAACAAGCAGGGTTTGTTCCACCCTGACCTCCTTATCCACCTTTCCAGGGGCTCAGGGTAAGCAGAGCTGATTACCGCTGCTAACCTTCCCCTCGGCAGGCTCATGCCTGGAGCTCACTGTGCTCCATGTTTTCCCAGAAGCAGCTTCCAGGCACTATGGCCAGTTTTCCCCACACTGTGGAATCAGACCATCTAACAAAGTTGTCGGAGGGCTCTTCACAGTCCCCATTTCAGACTCTCAGTGCCCGGCTTTAGGAGCCCAAGTATCAGAAAAGACTTTGGAGTTGATCTTTAGGGAAATTCATTGAATTCCAACAAAATCCTTGCATGTTCATTTCTTCCATGAAGCATGTCTACTGAAGATCAGATACAGTCAACCTTGCAGATCAGAGTTTAAGATAGCTTTAACTAATTTTAAATTGACTGGTGTTTAGCATAGGTATCCTGCAGACCTAGAGGTCGGTCTTGCCATAGGTTGCATTAGTGATGCTCCACACAATACAGGATAAGCTATAATAAGTACAGGAATAACAAGCTAAGAGCAGACCTGGTGCAATAAGAGATTATGGCAGTTTATGAATTAGATTTAGGAGCTGAATGGTTACAGTAGATCTGTGAAGTTCAGCTGGGGAAAGAGATGCCACGAAGGCATGTCACAAGGAGATACAGCAGTCTTTTAGCAAGTTTACCCTGTTTCTTCCTATTTCAGTATGCCAATCCCTATAGTTATCCTACCTGAAAGCTGTTACCGTATGTGGTTTTGGTTTGTGCGTGCCCTGGGGTAAGCAGCATTATTCTTGCAGGGACACCAAGAAGTTCTCTTCCATTGACCCAGATCATTGATCAAGCTTGTCAAGAGGCTGAAGCTTACAAGGATGCTGGAGTTGTAAGTTTTGGTTTCCTTCTTCCTATGGCAGCATTTACACAAAGCTGCTTCTGCATAGCCAATATTTTAAATTGAGTCTATAATTTATCAAGAGCATCTTAAACCACACGGTTTAGGAAGATGTTTAAATCCACATCTTGCATCACATGTACCCAAAACAATTGAAAAAGTTTAGATTCAAATTGTGCAATTCCAGTTGCTTAAGTTGCATTACCATCAATTTCTAAGAATCAAGTAA